TTTTGAGCGAGTCAAAAAGATTCCAGCCTGGACTAGATCTCAGGTGAGGTTGAAGTCGTCAGTTTTGTTTGGGATGAAATCACAATGGGGTCTATACAGGGTGCCCCCCCCAAATGTATACGCACGTTGACAGCTGGTTGCTCCGTTTCGAAAATGAAATGCACTTTGATAAACGCTGCCTTTACCATTACAGCGTGCGCATGCGTTGGGGGGACAGCTGTGTGTTTTGTGAAATGATGACCTCTGCCTGACACGATCAGAGCAAAAATGAATGAAGGAGAAAACCGTGTGAGGGGGCGTCTAGCGCAGTGGTTCTCAGCCTTCTGGCCCTTTAAATACAGCTCCTCGTGTGGTGACCCAACCATAACATTATTTCCGTTGCTACTCCATCACTGTCATGTGGCTACTGTGATGAATCGTCATGTAAATATCTGATATGCAGGATGGTCTGAGGCGACCCCTGTGAAAGGGTCGTTCGACCGCCAAAGGGGTCGCGACCCACGGGCTGAGAACGGCTGGTCCAGAGAAAACGGATGTGCATAACTGCTGCGCATCGATCTGTGTCTGCCCTCAAATGCATACGCTGGAGCCTCAGTCCCAATAGGATGGGATGTGGCGATGGGGCCCTAGGGAGGTGATTGGGTTGAGGTGAGGTCACGAGGGTGCCTGCCCCTGCCCCCCGCGATGTGAGGCGCTGAGAGACGGCCCGGTGCAGCTGAGGCCCTGCAGGCGGTTCGTGGTGAATGGGGAGCGGGCCTCCCCCAGCAGCTGTGCAGGGGCAGCCGGCCTCGGGCCCAGGGCGGCCTGGGGGAGAGAAAGAAAGTTGTCGCTTTTGATACTAAAAGATAAAACACAGCACTTGCCATGCTCTTTCTTTTGAAAGCTCTTATGTTTGAAGTGATAGGAGGTTTAAACGCTGTCATTTAGGAGTTTTTGTCGTTATCGATGCCCCGAGGACCCAAGCCAGTGGACGAGACAGCCTCCAGGGCCAGGCACACCCGCCCATTTCCCGGCTCCTCTGCGAACTCCACCCGCTTGAACCCCGGGGCTGTGTCCGATGTTGGGGAGCCACGTCAGGACCTGGAGGCGGGAGGAATGAGGAAACTGAGGGAAAACGCTGCCTCCTCTTTGCTGCAGGGGAAGGCACAGGCCTGGGGGGCAGCCGCCCAGCAGTGAGCCGAGGTCTTGGAGGGGAAGGGACAGGGCTCACAGCCCAGTGACAGAGAAGGGCCGGCTGGGCCCCGGGCCCGGGGGTAGGGGGATGGAGAAGGCCTGGGCAGGGATGGAGCTCAGTGCCCCGTGCCACAGTGCCTCTGGCGCCCTGTGCCGGGGCATCCCACCCGCTGGGCAGGGAGGTGGTCGGCAGGTCGCTGGAAGCCTTTAGAACAGGGACTCGTTGCTCTCGCCTTCCTGCAGGCCCGGGACCCGGAGCCCTGGGATTGGCATCCACGCCGTCAGGAGAGGCGACCCCTCAGCCCAGCTCGGGCTTCGTGGTTTTGCTTTTATTTTTAATAAATATTTTTATTGGTTTCAGAGAGGAAGGGAGAGGGAGAGAGAGACAGAACCGTCAGTGATGAGAGAGTCATCAATTGGCTGCTTCCTGCCCGCAACCTGTCACACAGCCCCGGGTCCGCCCCCCGCCCCGGCTCCCGGGCAGGAGCGCCAGCGGTCAGAGCCCCGGCCACGGGCGTCGGGTCGTCACTGACACTCAGTGTGGAACAAGCCCGATCTCCTGACCCTGCAGACAGGGAACGGAGGGCTGGGGTGTGCAACTAGCCCACAGCTCCCCAGCTGAGTTAGCGGCGCCTGGGACCGGCTGTGGTTCTGGGCTGGGAGAGCTCTGTGCAGGGCGAGGCCGGAGAAGGCTGACACCTCTGGGCACTCTCCAGGCTGCAGGGGCCAGAGCTGAAGCCCTCCCCTCCCTCCTGAGTCCCGCCCACTGTCTCCTGGACCTGTGATCTGACGCTCTATCCACTGAGCCATACCGGCTGGGGCCACATTTACCACTTTAAGAGTCAGGAATAGATTCCTCCCTGGTGATGATTTCCCTGATGTTAGAAACTAGGGTGGTCTCCCACTGTTACGAGTACAAATAGATTCCGTGGGAAAATATTTATAGTTAACATAATAATTTATAGCTCACTGTATCTGTCTCTATTTAGATAGATAAATATATCTGTTTTTCAAAGTGGCATTAGCAGCTGTAAAGGCGGGAGAGGCGATGTGACTACGGTTTCATATTGCCAAAGAGACATTCAAGTACACGGAGCCCACGGGCAGTTCCACCAGGGTGAGACCACGTGGCCTGTGCACGTAATACCCACCCTGGCCACCAGGGGTCCGCCTTTCGCCGTCTGTTTTTCCCTGGGAATCCGTTTGCTCCAGCAGGCAAACCCAGCAAAGGCATGGTCCTCTCTCGGTTGGAAACATCTGCCTTTTAAACGTGTTTTTATTGATCTCAGAGAGGAAGGGAGAATCAGCAACAGCAATGATGAGAGAGAACCACTGATCGGCTGCCTCCCGCACGCCCCCCACTGGTGCCAAGCCCACAGCCCAGGCCTGTGCCCTGACCGGGACTCGAACCGTGACCTCCTGGTTCATAGGTCGATGCTCAACCCCTGAGCCCCCCGGGCTGGGCAGAAACCGCGGTCTTTCGGAGAATAATGCTGAGCCTGTTCCAGCTCTCACTGGAGAAAATAATAACAGAGATGAGAGGAGCAATTGCCCGTGTGCTGCCTCCCAGATATAACTGTTGTCATACGGACTTGGGTCTTTTTCTGCCCTATGTGTGACGTGAGCAACAATTCATGCTGCTATGGGACTGGCACCGTGACGAAGGTTTTCTATAGATTAACGCCTTGAATCTTCACCACAGACTGAGAAGGTGGGGCAATTTTTCCCGTCATGCTTTTATATATAGTACTTGTACAGCCTGATTGATATATATGCGATATCTCATAAATGCCACCGTTTCGGGGATGTAGTTTAGTATGTTTTAGTACATTCATGGAGCTGTCCAGCCATCTCATGATTTAATTTTAGAACATTTTTGATCCCTCAAAAAGAAATGCCGTACACATTGATAGTCAACCGTCATTTCCAGCCCTGCGCTTTTCCGCATCTAGAAGAGAAGATTCTTTTATTATTAATTAGTTAATGAATGAATTGCTTTTTATTGTAGTAAGAACATTTAACATGAGATCTACCCTCGTAACATAATTTTTTTTATCCTCACCGGAAGATATTTGTTCATTGATTTTTTTAGAGAGAGTGGGAGGGAGGGAGGGCGGGAGGGAGGGGGAGAGCCAGAGAAGCATTGATGTGAGAGAAACATCGGTTCGTTGCCTCCCGCACATGCTGGACCGGGGTCGGCGCTGAACCTGCAGCTCAGGTATATACTCTTTTTTTTAGAAATATTTTTCTTATTTTTTACAGAATGGAAGGGAAAGGGATAGAGAGTTAGAAACATTGATGAGAGAGACACATCGATCAGCTGCCTCCCGCACACCCCCTACTGGGGATGTGCCCACAACCAAGGCACATGCCCTTGACCGGAATCCAACTTGGGACCCTTCACTCCCCAGGCTGACACGCTATCCACTGAGCCAAACCGGCGAGGGCTCAGGTATATACTCTTGACTGGGAATTGAACCTGTGGCCCGTCAGTGTGCGGGCCAACACTCTAACCACTGAGAGATACTGGCCAGGACGCAGCAACATTTTAAGTGCACAATGGAGTATTATTAACTATAGGCACAAGGTTACGTAACAGACCCCTAAACTTACTCACCTTGCATAACTTGCATTGCTGAAATATGCCTGTTGAATAGCAACTCCCCACTCCCCTCTCCCCCTAACCCCTGACAGCCACCATGCCACACCCTGCTTCTGTGAGTGTGACGGTGTCAGAAACCTCAGAGACGTGGGACCGTATAGTCCCCATCCCTCGGGGACCGGCTTGTTTCACTTCGCGTAGCCCTCAGGTTCCAGCCTGTTGCAAACGGCAGGGCTTTCTTCTCGTTGTGACGGAACAATATCCCACTGCGTGTCGGTACCACGGCTTCTCCGTCCGTTCCCCGGTCGGTGGGCGCTTGCTGGCCTCCACACCTCGCTATTGTGAGTGACGCTGTGATGGGTACGCGGTGCGGCTCTCTCTCCGAGACCCTGACTTCAATTCTTTGGGATAAAAATCCAGAAGTGGGGCTGCTGGGTCTTAAAAAAATTCTATTGTTCGCTTTCTGAGGAGCCGCCATGTTGTTTCCTACCGTGGCCACACCTGGGACCCTCACATAACAGGGCACGGGTTCCAGGTCTCACCGGCCCGGGTTCATGTGTGTGTTTTGCCAGTGGCCACCCTCCCAGGCGTGAAGGGAGAGATCATGGTCGTTTCCATTTGCGTTTTCCTGGTGATTAATGAGGGAGGAGCTGTTCTTGTCTCAGAATTACAGGTGGCCAAGTGGAGCCCAGCATAGTGCCCCATGCCCTGGCCACATGATTGGTCCAGGGCTGGACACATGACCTGAGGTGGACCCATCGGACCCCTCCCTGAGGCTCTGCTCATTTCCAAGCCTTAAGGATGTCAAGGGCTGGGGCAGGGGCGGCAGTGCCCTTCGCCTGGAGGAGGCTGGGGAGAGAAAGCAGGAGAAGAGAGAGCATCAGAGATGGCGGGAGGGACAGAGGCCGGGGTGGGGGGAGGGAGCTGGTGGGTGTTGATTTCTTGGGCGCAGCCACCGAGCTCCGCGGACCTGCTGTGGTGCCGCATCCTGGGCCGGCGTCCTTCCAGTGAGTGTCCTTTCCGACTCAGCGGCCGGAGTGGTCCCCGCCCTGGTGGTCCGGACCGGATTCCAGAGCCCTGCCCGACGGACGCACGTCCCAGGCCCAAGCAGAGGCACCACTCGTATTAGCACCATTGAAGAGAGAGAAACATCAATGAGAGAGAAACATCGATGGACTGCCCATTGCCTGCCCCCTCCTGGGGATCGAGCCTGCAACTCCCGGGGCATGTGCCCTGACCAGGAATCAAACCAGTGACCTCTGAGTGCGCGGGACGAGGCTCAATCCATTGAGAATAGGGCTCGGCAAAGCCCCAGACACAGCTGTAGCCGGTCCCCTGGGCAGGGACGCAGGGAGTGTGTGCGAGTCCTGGGGCGGCCCCGGTGGCCTCCTGGAGCAGCGCCCACGTCTACACCACCGCAGGGGCCAAGCCGATCCTGTTGTTGGCGCGATCGAAGACGGTGAAATAGAGTCGCAGGAACACATCCCCCAGGACCCAGAGGCTGGAGCTGCCTGAGGTGTCGATGTCCATGTTGCAGAAGCAGATGTCGGTCTGCTCCTGGAGGGGAAGGACGTGCAGCCCTCAGCCGCGCCCTCGCCGCCCGCCACCCCGATGCTCGGCTAAGAATCCCCGCCTGCTCCCCGCCATCCCCGTCGTCCTCGAAGACCCGGCCCAGCGCCCGGGCAGCCCTCCGGGGCCCATGCCCCCTCCTGGGCACTGCCGGCTGGTGGGGAGCTGCCTGAGCTCCCCGTGTCGGCAGCCTCAGCACAGGGGCCTATGGGGAGCTCGGCTCCCGGGTGCTCCCTGGTTCGGGGCGCAGAGGCTTCCAGTTGCTCTCCGTGGCTGCCCACGCCCTCTCGGCACGCCGTGGGGACCGGCGCTGCGCTGCCTCCGCTGCGTGCCAGGCACTGCCCGGTCATTGCGCACCGCTATTCATGGCAGCCTCTAACCGCCCTGCAAAGAGGGGGTTGGGTACCCCATTTCACAGCCAGGGAACTGGGGCCTAGCAGGGGCGTTTGCACCCCAGGACTAGGGTGACCTTATGGTTTATCACACAAATCAGGACACTTCGAGATGGGAAGGGAATACAGCCCATGATTACGGGGGGGCCACTGGGGCTGTCCCCAGCCAGCCCTACCGTCCCTCCTCTTTGCCTGTCTCCGGGGTTACCGCCTATGTTCCAGCCCAGCGGTCAGAGCGCCCCCTTGCCCTGACGCTGCCTGAGGGCGAGGCCCTTAGCGCGCTCTCCTGGACCCGGCACCAGCACTGAGCCGGCACAGGCGGCTGCTCCGCATTTTTCCGTGGCTGATGGATGCCCCAGACACCCTGCTATCAAGAGGCTTGTGCTGTGGGAGGCGCCCTCCCAGCCAGGGCTGCTGGCCAGCATCCGCAATGGCACGGTCCTGCCTCCAGGGGCCTCTCTGAGCCCTGGCCCCACAGGTCCCTCCAGCCCCAGATCTGAGAACCAGCCCCCAGGGCAGCCCCTCACCCTCTGGATGTAGGCGCTGGCTGGCACTGGGTACGCGATGCCGTTGATGGTGAAGACGATGTCAGGCAGGCTCTGGACGGCCTCGCAGCTGACGATGTACTGTGTGAGAGAGAGGGAGGGGGTCGGCCCCGCGGGTCCTTCTGTGTGTGGGGAGCCCAGGGTGACCCCGGGGCGTGACCCCTCACCTCGCCGGTGCTGGTGTTATGGGCGTTGATGCTCTTCAGAATGTTGAGGACGGGGTCGAGTGGGCCAATCACCAGCGAGGCCCCGGTATCCATGATGGCCTGGCAGTCGCCGGGACAGGCCACGACCGTCCCGTTCATGGAGATGCTGAGGGACAAAGCAGGCACCAGGGTCACCCGTGGCCTCTCCCCCGCGGCCCTCCCAGCTGCCTGCAGAACCGCCTGCAGCTCCTGCCGTCCTGTCTCCCTGGACAGACTTCCTCTCAGGCCTTGAATGCATTGTGCTCTCGGTGCCTCAGGGCCTTGGCACGCGCTGTCACCCTTCCTGGACCCACCCCGTCCCCTTTGTCTGGCCGATTCCTCCTGTCCTCCAGGGTCCAGATCAGTTGCTACTTTTCCAGGGAAGTGTCCCCCAGAGGAGATCAGACCCCTCCTCCCCAGACTGGACGGCAAACCCTCCTGGTGTCCAGCGTGCACGGGGTGGGCACTCCCGATGGCTGCGACACCGCCCCTCACGTGTGTCTGCCCTGCTAGTCGGGAGAGCAAGCTGTGCCCTGCGTGCCCCCTCCAGTGCCCGTGCCCAGCGCACAGCGCATGCTCCACTGTGTTTGCTGCGGGAATGGCAGGGCACGTGAAGGAATGAGGGTCAACTGGAGACACGGACCTGCTGTCCGGCCAGTGAGGAAAGCCACACGGTGAAGACGGAGGTTCCCGGGAGCAGAGGCTCAGAGAGAGGCAGGGAGTGTGTTGTTCCCCCGCTGCCTCGCCCACCCCCCCATAGGCCCCTGGACGGGGGACGCCTGAGCCGGCCCAGGACGCGGGACGTGGGTTGGGCTCCGGAGCACAGTTTAGGCCTCTGTGTGACAGAATCACGTGGCCCCCCTCAGTGATCGCCCCTGGCCTCAGCCACCCCGGTCCCCGCTTCCTGATGCTCTTGGTCCCATCCCCTGGGCCTGGGCACCCAGACCGGGTGGGTGGGGGTCCCTTTGTGTGATTTGCTTTCAGGCCCTAGGATGGCGCCCACATGTCTCCAGGGCCAGGGAGCATCTCCCTAGGCGGGGCGCCCTCCCGTGTGCCGGGGCTCCCCTGTTTTCACGTTGGCGCCCTGTGTGCTGGGAACCCCTCGGCCTGGCGACCTGGATGTCCCTGTTCTGACGGTGGAATTCTCGGCTCCGGAGCACAGTTTAGGCCTCTGTGTGACAGTATCACGCGGCCCCCTCAGTGATCGCCCCTGGCCTCAGCCTCCCCGGTCCCCGCTCCTGGTGCCCGTGACGCAGGCCCAATCCCGGTTCTCTGGTCAGGACCCTGGTCAGGGCGGTTATGAACCCGTGTTGGGGTGCGTGCCTGTGCGTGTCTGTCCGAGTGTGTGCGTGTGCACTGTGCCTGCAGGTGCGGCTGCCACTGGCGTGGCCCTCAGCGTCTGGAGGTGGGGGTGGGGGTGCTTACCTGTCCACAGTGACCTGCCAGAAGCCCTGCCTGCTCACCGGCACCCACTGGAGCTCGCCCCGGTAGTAGGAGTGATCCACGCCGCCGAACATCACCACGCTGCCCTTCTCCTGGTTGCTGGGAGAGAGGGGGGGGAGAGGGGGCTCTTGTGAGGGGAGGACGGTGGGTGGCGTTTCTCCAGCTCAGTGACTGAGGGTGGCACTGGCCAGCGGCCACTTAGCCACACAGCACAGGGCCCCGCGGAGCAGGCACTGCCGTGACCCCCACTGTTCAGAAGGGAACTGGGGCAGGGGCACCGAGCACAGACCAAGGTCAGTCCCCTGGCCACTGAGGAGCACAGCCAAGCTGTGAGCTTGGGATTCTGGCTGGGCTTCGGCTAGAATGTCAGCATGTTGGGCTCCGCCGGCTACGCGATCTCTATCGCAAGTGCTCGATGCTGCCATTGTAGCGCAGAAGCAGCTGCTCCTGCTCTCTCTCCACGGAGGCTGAGCAGCCTCGCCCCCGGCCTCCGTGCCTCCTCTCTGGTCCACCCTCCTCCAGCCAGCGCCTGCGGGAGCTTTCAGACACAGATGGGATCATGTCTTATCCCTGCCTGGGCCCCTGCAGAGGCCTCCACACCCACCTAAAACCGAACCCCTGGGGCGGCCTTGCCCCTGCCTGCCCCTCAGACTCCACGCCTCCCTCTGCCTGCCTCCCTCCCTCCCTCCCTCCCAGCGCTCCAGCCACACTGCCCCTTGCCGGTCCTCTGTTGAGCCTGGGCCTCTTCCTCTCCCCCCTCGCCCGGCCTCAGTTCAGAGAGGTCCTTGCACTGCCCATCTGAAACCGCGCTCTCATCTCTGTCGTCCTATCACCATGTTTCCTCGCTTTCCCGGAACCAATCACTGCCTGGCATGTTATCTGTTCCTTTTATTTATTTACTTGCTTCTTGTCTGCCTTTTCTGCCTCTCACCGGTCTCCATCACGGGCACAGAGCAGTACCCAGCACATAGTAGGTGCTCAATGAATGTTTGTTAAACGGCTCCCCTCCTTGCTTTGGTACAAGCACCCCAGAGGCTCAGCTCATGCTGCAGAGCCCGGGGCTCAGGCCCCCACAGAGCCCACAGCCTCACCCACACCCTGCATCCTACACTCGGTCTGCCCGCCGGGTCCCCCTCTAGCCTGTGCTGCTCCCTCCACCCCTCCAGACCCTCAGCCAGCCAGGGAGCTGAGTGTTTCCACTGCCGGCCCAGTGACTGGAGACCTGCTGATGGCCTGACCACCCGGCAGAGGGGGCAGCCCCATGGCCGAGCTCGAGTCCTGCCACTGCCAGTGTTTGGCTGGGCCATTCTGTGCAAAGCTCCTCTCTGAGCCTCAGTTTCCCCACCCATCAAAGGAGGGACTAGAAATACAGGGGTTGGCAAACTTTAGAAAATGCTAGATTATGCCCTAGCTGGTTTGGCTCAGTGAATAGAGCACTGGCCTGCAGACGGAAGGGTCCCGGATTCGATCCCTGGCCCTGGTCGGGGTGCACATAACAGGCAATCAATTGATGTGTCTCTCTTGCATCGATGTTTCTCTCTCTGTGTCTTTCCTCCTCCCTTCCACTCTCGCTAAAAATCAATGGGAAAAAAGTGAGGATTAACAACATAAAATAAAAATGCTAGAATGTCAGCATGTTGGGCTCCGCCGGCTACGCGATCTCTATCGCAAGTGCTCGATGCTGCCATTGTAGCGCAGAAGCAGCTGCAGACAGGATGTGACCGAAGGAGCAGGGCTGTGTTCCAATAAAACTTTATTTATAAAAGCAGGTGGCGGGCCACATGTGGCCGAGGGCCACTAGTTGCTGACCCCTGGACTAGGCTGCCCCTCAGGAAAGAGGGGAGGCCGGGTCGTCTACCATTTCTCAGGCGACAGAAGGCATCTGGGCAAAGGGCCTGCCCAGCCAGGCTGACCTGCTCAGGGAGCA